ACACACAGAGCTTGTCACTTTGTTCACAGATGGCCCACTGACACACAGTCGCAGCCTCTTCAGTCTTACCTGTCGACAATCAGCGGTGATTTTTGTTCATTTGTCTCTGCTATTTACGCAATAGGAGGGGGACAACAAAAGCTTTTTGTGTGTGTGTGTGTGTGTGTGTGTGTGTGTGTGTGTGTGTGTGAGTGAGTCTGTTTATGGTGCTACAGCATCACAAAGGACAGAGATGAATGAAAGCCCGCTTTTATTTGAGGAAGAATGGCTTTTTCCCATCATCAACATTAATTCAGCTGCTTAGAGCTTTGTGTATTCTTGTATTTATTAATAACTGCGGTCCACTTGCTTCTGCTCAGTCTTAATTATTTGGAGGCTTGAATTCAGTATTTCTTTCCTTCTTTCCATTTGAAACTGAAGTGTTGAGCAGGCAAATCAATAAAGGATACAACATTTAGCTGTTGTGGTAATTGATCAGCAAACCTTAACCAACAATAAATAATAAATGAATGAATATCAGTAACAAGTATTATGTGTGTGTCAAAGTATATTTCTTCTTCCTCTGTGCCATAGGGCTCTATTGTTGCCCAAAACGATTAAAAACACATCACACACGCTTGTAGTGGGTGACATGGTCTTTCCAAACCATGAACACACACACTGTAGTTGCAATGATTCCATATACAATTCAATTCAATTCGATTCAATTCAAAATGGGCTTTATTGGCATGAAAGTTTTTTAAAAAACAATATTGCCAAAGCAAAGCATTCAGATACCATACAACAAATCAAAAATATATACATTATGAATATTATATTAGTTATATACAGTGTGTGTGTGTGTGTGTGCGTGTGCCTCGATCACTCACTGCCCCTCAGGTTGTGGCATGTTAATTCATACTGGGCAGCAAGGTGTGCCTGCTCTCCTTCTCCGAGGAGTATTTTTAATTTGGAGAGGTCGTTCAGCTCTTGGAAATCTGGTATGAAAGAGCTGAACTTGTTCAAATACATTTTTCTAGTATTATTTAATTTTGTACATTGTAGGAGAAAGTGCATCTCTGTCTCAACCTCATCTGTCGAACACTGACCACATTTTCTGTTTTCTTTTGGTTGCCATGATTTTTTGTGTCTTCCTGTTTCGATTGCCAATTTGTGGCCACTGAGCCTGTACTTGGTTAGGACCTGTCTCTGCTTTCTATCTCTGACAGTAGAGAGATATTCTGCTAATTCATAATCTATTTTAAGGGCAAGATAACATTCCAATCTACTTTGGCTTTTAGTTGTTTCTTCCCTTGCTTTAGTCTGATTACTGTTGGTAGAGCAGTGTTGTTGTGAGGCTGGTCAGAGTGTGTCTGAGAGGGGGCAGTTAGCCTCAGTACCAACTGACATAGGGGACTCTTTTCTGGGCTCAGCTCTTGGTTTTGGAGGGCTTTGGCGTGGAGGGTGTCTCTGGGGCTGGATTTCAGGTGGTTAAAAAAGTTGAGCGTTCTCTTCTGAATGTTAATTATCAGTGGGTATCTGCCTGATTCTGCTCTACATGCATTTGTTGGTGTGTTTCTGTGTACGTGTAAAATGTATCTGCAGAATTCTGCATTTAGAGATTCTGTTGGATGTTTGTCCCAACGGGTAAAGCTGAGTGGACCCCATACTTCACTACCGTACAGCGCAATGGGCTGGGTGACACTATCAAATATTTTAAGCCAGATTTTTATTGGAATATGGAAATTATAAAATCTTCTCTTAATTGTATATAGAGCTCTTCGAGCTTTTTCTTTTAGTGCATTCACTGCCATGTTGAAACTCCCTGATGCTGTTATGGTTATACCAAGGTAGGTATAACTCATGCTGTGTTCAATGACATGATTATTGATGGTAAATTGGTGTTTGTTCTCATGACACCTGGGGCGTTTTTTGAAAGATCATGACATTGGTTTTCTTCATGTTTACTGCCAGGGCCCAGTTCTGACAGTGCTTTTATACTTTACTTTTCTACTACATCCAGCTGTAGCTGTAGTCCTTGTTCAGTAGGAGACAGTAGAACAAGGTTATCAGCATAAAACAGAGACTTCACCTCTCTATCTAGGAGGGAGAGGCCCGGAGCAGCACATTTATCTAACTCAACAGCCAGTTCATTTATATACACATTAAATAAAGTCGGACTTAGATTGCAACCCTGCCGAACGCCTCTTCTCTGGGGGAAGAAATCAGTTAGTTTGTCTCCAATTTTAACAGCACACATGTTTTCCAAATACATTGATTTAACCAGATCAGACATTTTGCCACCTATACCACATTTTAAAAGTCTGTAATAGAGCCCTTCATCAAAGTTATATTTTTCCATTCTTAGTTTGTTGTACATGTTTGTTGATTAAAGTGTGAAGGGTATATACATGGTCGGTGGTGCGGTGTTTTGGGAGGAAGCCAATCTGACTTTTACTTAAGATTGACTGATCCTCAAGGAAGTCTAGTATTCTTGTATTAAGAATACTACAAAATAGTTTACCTAGACAGCTGCTGACACAGATGCCACGGTAGTTATTAGGATCTGATTTGTCCCCACTCTTATGACCAGATGTTGGGAAAACATCCTGCCTGTAGTATAACATTGAACAAATGTAACATATACACTGTCTTGCTGCTGTAAATACTCAGTAGAGCACCCAATGTGTATTAATCCGCAGCTGGAAATAGTTCCCAACAGATGCCCTATTTACTCCTGTTTTGAGTAACATTTGCTAAAAACTACAGTGGCCACCTGGAAATGACTGAGCCATTTTAATAATATCAAATGACAGCTTCTAAATTAGGTTTTACGTGGATGATATTATTGCACAGTTATTGAAGCCAACACCGTCTATTTCTTACTTTTGGAACATAAAATATACTTAATAAAGCCTTAATTTATCATTAAAAACACACCAATATGTTCATCTATATCAATGTGTTTGGTATGATAGCCAGATATCATCTGGGTTTGTTTTCATGCCATATCACTGAAGAATTGTATTGATTCATTTAACACCTTGGATACACCTTAATCTCAGGAGCTGTAAATATACAGTTTAAGTACATTTTAAGGGCTATATGACTCACCCTTTTATTTACAATTATTTTGAAATAATTTACCTAAGTTTCAAAGCTACAGCCCTTTTAAGGTATGAATGAAATGATGATTGTTATTTAGGCTATTTTAAGTGGGTTATACCCTTTAAAAATGACTTTCAGTTAAAATATTAATTTCTACCAAATTTATGAATTAATCTTTCCCTTAAAATTCCTTACAAATAGATGCATTATATTGTTATTATTTAGCAAATGAATGGAATTTAAATATAAAAATATAAAGGGATTTAGTCTCATAGTGTCTACAGATAGATCAATACAACATAAGTTACTAGGTTTTCTTTTTTAAACATAAATATCCAATCAAGTGCCATCTCCATCGTTACATTTTCATTTTTAAATAATAAATTCCGATTAAAACTGTTCAAATTAAACATTTAAATTGTAAGGGAAACTTGTATTCAAATAAAAAGGTCAAAACAAGAGAAATAATACCAGCAGAAATTAATTCAGTGTAAGATATTGGTCAAAACAGTGACATGGTCTCCGTATTATAACCCAGTGATGAGGAGGGATCCCCTGAAATCATAAACCCCCCTCCCTGCCACTCCCCCGCGGTCACATGATGTTATGATTTTTACTGGAACCCATCACAACAACATCAGCAACAACAACAACCGGATTTAGTAGATCTGCTTATCTTACGTTCTTAGCTGCCTCAAAGAGAAAAACACAATTTGGGATTAACTGATCTCTTTTTCCCAATTCCTCGTGTAAAGAGCTTCCATTATGATTACAGTAATAATGCACATCATTTCTTTTTAAGCCAAATTCTGTGTAATAAAGCTTTGTATTTAGCCCATATTTACTAAATTGTTAAAGATCTCAAGGTTTGTGATTGGTTGCTCAGCTTTTACCCAGAGTCTCACGGTGGTTGTGATGGCAATGGCTCGGTGTCATGAGTCCTGAATGGTGAAGAAGATCCCTGACTTCAACACCTCTGCCTGTACTGAAACAGCCTTTAAAGTGCTTCCAAACAGTGTACGGTAATGGCTACACATTAGCACATAATCACATGTTAAAATATTTGAAAAGAAACACTCCCTTTCCCCATTCATGCTGCAGAAGAAGGTCAGTTTTTGGAATTGTAAAATGTGGCTTTTTGTATAGATGGAAGGCAGAAACAGAGAGAAAAAAAGACTTTTGAAATGTAAAATGTATCCACACTAGTGTGGCCATGACATTAGATGCCCCCAGCTTAGGGTGGGATTGAGTGACTGAATGTGAAACCTTTGTAAAGTACTGGCAAAATGCATTTCATTAGAAAAGAATTAGAATTACTAGAGTTTTGACCCCATTCAAATAAAACTAAAGAAATGATGGCGGTCACTGCATTTACCATTTTTGTACAAGTATATCTTTAAAGGTGGTTTGAAAATGATGAAAATTAAAAATTCACAGACAACAGGCTGTGCTTTCTACTGTAGCAGGGGGCATTTGTAAAATGTCTGTCAGATCCAGTAAATAAGGCTAGCAAGCTGTGCTGCAAAATCATAACAACAAAAGAAGTAATGTGATGAAGCATTTTGGATTTCACACCAAGGATGGAAAAATTGTAGATGAAGGCGAGTGAACTGTAAAATGCATCTAACATTAACCTGTCACTCAAATGAGGGAGACGAGCCACCAAAGTGAATAGAATCACGTCGATTCATGTATCATTGTTTTCAGGCTGTGTGTGTTGGGTTGGAATTCAAACTGATTTTTCTATTATAAAAAAGTGAAAGTAGTTCAATATAGAGGAGTAAAAAGTAAAAAGCAAAAATATTTTCCTAAAAGTACACACAACAGATAACATTTAAATACTCCAGTAAAGTACCACAAAATTATAGTTAAATACTGATTTGGTTCTGATTCAACACAAATAAAAAAAGTCCTTGTAACGTGTTTCACACTTTATTCATAGAAAAGCACTGAGATTCCAACACAAATCAATATAAAATGGTAGTAGCGTTACATAAATAGTAATAAATTCTCGCTTTATAGACAGTAGCTCAAGAAGTTGCACAAAAAATTACAAATTAAAAAAAACAAAAAAACAAGTGTTGATGATAAGCTATCATACTTCTGTGGCAACAAATACTGGAAATACCTTTTCATAATCAGTAGCACAAAGAGGCAACAAACACTTTCAATTTTCCCTTAGAGTTAGAGAGAATCCAAAACAAAACAAACTGGGAAACAGTAGGTGAACTAGATCTCTACCAGCAAATAGTACTCTCCTATTGAAAGAAAGAAAGGGGGAAAATAAGAAAACCTCAAGAAACTGGCTGATACAGTTAACACGGACTGAAAAACAAGCTAGAGGGAGGGACGTCTTTGTTGTAACGCTGTCAGTTAATGCATCACATAAAGGCAGCTTCCATTTTAAGCAAGTGGTAAAACAACACCTCTCTTTCACCCATCATGTTAACGTAGCAGCCAAGAAATAGTAGTTAAACCTCTTTTTATCCTCGTTCTGTAGAAACCTGCAGCAACAGCAGATGAAAATACAGTTTTTGTCGGGAGTTGACTTTGTGCAGACACAAAGCCGCTGCAGTGCACTGGTGTCTCGAGCGCTTTAAGGTAAGACAGCAGAGGAAGCGGCTGCACTGAAAGCTGGTCACTGACACATCGCTGCATTGCTTGAAACCAAAATCCTCCTTGTGTGAGGGGGAGTGAGGTGATGAGCAACTGAAGATTAGAAAAAGAAACTATGGTAATGAGACAGAAGAGGTGAACTCAGCCAGCGTTGTAGGCTGGAGGGAGTTGAGAAAGCAATAAAAAAAAAAAAAGCCCAAAACAAGTTCCAACGAGGAATGAACACAAGGTCATCCACAGGCCGTCTCTTTTGTTCATACAGTTGCTGTTTCAGACTCTCTGACATTTGTGTATTGTTCTGTCTCACTGCAGTGCCGCCACCCGACTCGACACCTCTGAGAAGACACTAAAGGCTTGAGTCCTGATTAAATAAAACCAACAAAGAAGTAAAGAAAAAATAAACTTTGTACATTGATCGGTCAGAAAGGCATTTCCCACCATTTTCATTTTTTTTTAATCTCCTCTAAATGTTGCAGCGGATGCAGGCTGGCTACTGCGCATTGTCCAAACACAAGCATGCTGGGCCTTGCCTTTGCCCCCCCTCCCCCTCTTTAATAGTGGTTCAGGCCACTGTGTCTCTTCCACACTTAAGTTTTCAGAGGGGAGGGGGGGGTCTTTAAGAGGTGACAAGACCATCGAAGTGGTTCTGCATAGTCAGGTTTAGTACGTATCTGTTTACAAATGAATGCCTTCCTCATTCTCCTCGACTCTGAATGACATGCTTCCTTTTGGAACACAGATTCTTTTTTTTCTTTGCAAATCAAAAAATTTAAAAAAAAATACAAATAATAATAGTTATTATAGCAAAAACAAACAGAAAGAAATGTACACAGGAGCACCTGAGAAATGCCTTGAAGTCTTTGCTCTTACAAAAAACGCTGTCAAATTCCCCGTCCAAAACAGTTCAAGTACACCCCCGCCAAAATAAAAACATAAAAATAAGGGGAAAAAACCAAACACATAACATACTTATCATAAATAATTATAACTTTACAATTTTCTGAATTGACACTTTAATATTTACAATATCTTAAATGCTTAATGCTACTACTTTTTGTTTTGTTTCTTTAAGTGATGTCCCTGAGAACTGAGTTTAGCCTCTCTTCTTTCTTTTGCTCAGTTTTCCTTTTTTTTTGTCGTCATTCTTCTATCTGCGTTTCTTCGGATCAAAAAAGGCCCAGAGTTGTGACTGACTACCCGGGTACTGGGTGAAGGTAGCTCTCATGGAATGTAAAAGCAGACAAGAAAATGTTCCTCCATTCAAAAACCCTTTTTGTCTTTAACTGTCCTGCCATCGACGGGCGGACTCATTCGCTGCGTTCTGTTTGTGTGTCTGCGATTCCTACTCAGTCATACGAAGTTTCCAAACAATCAATAAATAAATGCTGAAGCAGGCAGGAACGTACTGAAGAGGTATTTGTGTGAAGTGCTTGTACGATGACGTTTAGTCCAACCAGTAAAGATTCAAGCTCTTGCTGTACTGTATACTGCCATTAACAACACTTTGCCACTGGGTAAGACAAGGGGGAGAGAAGAAAAAAAACTACTTCCTGTGCCAAGGCATGTGGTCTCAAATATGTAGGATGAAGTCATCAAGTCATAAAACATACAGTATTTTTTGTGTTTGCACTGTGTCTCAACCCTTTGAGGAAGACAAGGCCACAACGATCACAACCAGTAGCATTCACAGGCGAGTCGCTCCAGTAACTATAGACCCTTTTCCTTCACAAGACCAAGGAAGTGGAGGGATTTCCATTTAGAAACATGGTCATTTGTCTTTGAGCCATGCTGGGGACTAGATTATAGCAATTACTATAGTTTTTACCATTTTAAACATTAGCCTTTTTGTCCAAATACTACTTAACTACTTACACCATTCATTGATCATTTTTTTGGAAACTTTGGATAGTGGAACGAGCTAGGAACTCGGACTTTATCACACAAAGTCGCTACAGCTAACATGTTAGCAAACAGTTGCTAGCGTACACGTCTAGCAGAGACGGAGCATTAGCATTCATTTGGGGTTTTTGGCCTCCTAACAAATCCAAGTCCATGGTCACTAGCAGCACGGTAGCAGCTAAATGCTCCACTATGTCCAGCTAGATGCTAACTTTGTCTGCTGTCTGTTGCTAGGCAGCCAGTGCACAGCAGCCGACAACCGCTACCTGCTGTGGTTGGAAATGAGGATAAGGAGTGGGAAATCATAAAAAATTGCTAAAAGATCCTAAAAAAGCTTCATAGAGCTGAGGAACAGCAGAGTTGGATGATGACACATTACACATAATCAGTGGTAGGAACGCAATGAACTCAAATAGCTAAATCTCTTGATCTGAAAAGATATTCAAGGTAGGGCTTCTACCTTACTATCAGTCCAAGATTGTTCAGTTGTTAAGCAGTTATTACCTCTTGCTGCTAATGTCATTTTAGGTCATTCTGGCTGTTATAAAATACCTCACAGCAATTGGTAATAAGTACTAAGTAATAAGTAGGGGTCAGGGTTAGAAACCAGATTTCTGCTCCTAAAATGTTGTGATGTTCTGGGTATGTGAAAAGGTTTGGGGAAACAAAGAAACAAACGAAAAGTTTCTGCGTTCTTGAGATGGAAAAGGGACTTTAGCTACAGGCAGAGTTAACAACTAACAGTCACTGACATCAAAAAAGGTCCCAGTAGGTTCCAAAGCTTCCTAACAGAATACAAGAAGGTGAAATTAATGCCGCCAGGTGATAAAAATGAAGCGCAGAGTTGACTTATATTGCTTATTGACTAAATGTGGATCTAGTGAGTGACAGGGTGAGCACTGGAGTCTTATAGGTTTAAATGGTTTTGGCCACAAATAGCTGTACAGCAGTGCAGTGGTATTTCTGGGAATACTGTGACCCCTCCATTCAGCACAGTTGTGTATTGTCACTGGTAAAAAGCTTATAGCAGGACATACGAGATATACTGTATATATGTGCACGTGGAGCCTCAACTACTCTACCTCAGCTAGAACAGCCTGAACGACGTCACTCTCAGGCTTGTGGAGTGGAAAACATGCACTCTGTGAAGCAACATGGTTCTTCCTCTAAAGATAGATCTTAAGGAAAAGCACTGACCAGCAGGTGTATAGGGTAGGAGATAGTCTAGAGTGGCTTTAGTCAAGTTTATAAACCCGTTGGTACTGACTTATTCTACAGAGAGACCACACGTGTAGTTCTGTATTCTGCCCTCACTACTCTAAGATGCCCTGAATGAAACAAGAGGCAATTTCTGATAGAGAGATTAAAGCTGATGAATAATACAGTCGAGGTATGACAGTAACACTATGTGTGTTTTTGACCTCAGTGGGTTACAATTCCTTTTGGAATGACACGTTCCTTCTACTTTGAAAACCACTTCTTCTTCTTCTTCTTAACCCCAGCTGAAAGTGTCTTCTGGCTCAAAGTAAGTACCCCATCCAACAAAAGCTTTTGGTTTTTGAATCGTCATGTGCCACCAAAAAACAAAAGTTTCTTTTCTCTTTTTTCCCCCATCACAATCTTTTGACTTTTTCATACTAGAGTTAACATTAGTTGGAGGAGAAAAATGCTTTGTTTTTGCTGTTGTTTCTTTGACATTTCAAGCCGTTTCCCCCTTTTGCAGTCTCAATGAAGTAGAGCAATGCACTGCGAACACTTCCTGGTTCACATTCAAGAAACAAAACAACAAAACAGGACAAAAACTTAAGACTTAGTCAACAAATGGCTCAACATAAGAAGTAAAAATACAAGAAATCCAAAAAAACCTTAAATAGAAACAAATAAGTTTAACTACTTCCCAAGAAGAGGGTCCCTGTGAAGGGGGGGGTTAAGGTCAGCCGAAGCGCTCCCTGACCAACATCATCAGTTTCTTCTTGCCCTTGTAGATCTGTTTCAGGTTGTCTATGAACTGGGCGAACTGAATGTGGCCGTCCTGTGCCAGCAGGAAAGTCTCCCGCGCTTTGCTCAGGAATTCTATGAACTCTCCGTAGTGCCGCGGACTGATGTGTGTCAGTCGAGAGTGCGTGGTGTTAATGTACGCCGAGATCGTGGCGTCCAGGAGCTGCCGCAGCGGCGCCTTGTCCGTTGACATCAGCTTCCCAGAGTTCCTTCTCCCGGGAATGCCGGCGAGACCCGGCGCCGTCATGGTGCACCGCCGCAGGATGTCGGACAGCACCGTGGCACAATGCACGCTCTTCACCACCAGGGGGATAATGGCTGCGAGCTCATTTTTACCCAGAGAGTGGCTGAGCGCGCACGCCCAGAGCACGTCATTAATAGCTGGGTGTGTGTCCTGGTTGTAAGCCAGGTTAAGGTGGGTCATGGCGAGGGAGGCCAACTTGAAGGACCGCAGCGGGTATCCTCTGTGTTCCATGTACCTCGCGATGGTAAACAGCTGGGAGTAAGTCATACCCGTGGACGCTGCGTCAATCACGATCTGGTAGGCCGTCTCGAAGGCGATGTGGTCCTTCTCGCAGAGCGTCAGAGCTGACAGAGCGCAGTTCTGAGGGTCCTTCATGGCGCACTGCAGGGCCAGGGTCCTGGCGCAGCTGGCAAGTTCCTCGCGCTGGGGGTAGTCGAGGCTGAGGCGCAGGATGGTGTTGTGGGACATGACGGTGGCCGCCACGATGCTTGTGGCCTCAGTCGGTGTGAAGAGAGTGTACCAGCTCTGTAAGATGCTCACTAATGCCCGCAGACCTGAGGAGGAGGAGGGACAAAGACGAGATTCAACATTTACTGTGGTCAGAATGTGGATCACATGATACTGGTACGATTCTACGTTTTTAAGAGGTCTTTGATGATTTGAATTTAATCCACAGTTACAAGAACGAATCTGATAAGAAAGAAAATTGAAAACGAGTTACACTGCGGTAGCCCCTCATACACATCATCTCTGGACCATCCAAAAGTTCACGATGCTGCTGCTAGGTTGCTTTTCAACCAGGTCCAATTCCAGGTCTACTGTCACACCCATCTCGACTTTAATGTCATTTTGGTTTTGATTTGAACAGCCACAGACTGCAGTTAATCACAACTGTGCCACCAGGCGTCACCTATTTAAGCAATGTGACAAGTAGGCTTTAACCACTGAAGCCCTATTGGTGGCAGTGCATCAGCCAATTATACACAGTAAATGATCTAAATTAAAAGAAAAACCTGAATAAAAGAGGGGAGCGAGATGCTTCCATTCAGGACAGTTAGGGCTCTCCACTACCATCATCAAAACATCAAATGAGGCAATATTCTGTGGGAAAATGAGTTTATCCCTCCAGCAGAGTTCAGGGGCTTGAATAATCTATGACAACGAGCACTGAAGCTGCTCTGAGGCTTGTGGTGGCCCAATGACGCCTTTCTTGGTTTTCCATTTAATTTGTAACCCATCTTTATCTCAAAGTCAAAGTCAGCCTTCAAGCTGAATTAAAATGCATCACAGCAGACCAAAGAGAAGATCTGAAGACACTACGAAGGGCATAATTAGACCATGAATCGTGTTTTACTGGCGTGGGTGAAAAGGCGTCACATACCGACTTCAGTGGCACAGGTTACCAGCCAGCGAACCATCTCTCTCCTTCTCCAGTTCAGTGTGGACAGAGTCATCCTCATCACCTGCAAAACACATGGGAAACAAGTTAGTTAATCCTGCCTCTTGGTACAATGGGAATGAGAACAGTTATTACATTCAGTCAGTTTTTGATGGAATGTTGGCAAAAATATTTTATGTGAACATGAAATGCTTTTCATAATTGAACAGTTATAACACCGCACGTCTCCAGTGGTGACAGATGTATCCAAAATGTGTTCATAATTACACAGATGACTAATTGAGACCCTTCCATTTTGAGCACTTATTTAGCAGTTTTTGCTGACAGGAATTCAGCCGATACTCTAAATACCAGGAGAGAGAGACGGGAGAACCCGCAGCGAAGCTGTAGTCTAGATCATCTGAGGAGTTTTTTCAGTGTTTACTGTGGAACCCAAGAGGTTTAATTATGTGGTTTCTTCCCATCAGCAACGGTAAGACACTGTGTGATGTTTTCTCTGCTAATTTGTAGTAAGGCCGTGGAGGCCTGCAGAAATTACAAGTTCAAGGAAACTGTTGCATGTTTTGACTGGTGACCAGTGCTCTGATTTTTGGTGGTGAAATGCTTTATGGAAATGCCTGACTCGCCCTCATACATCAAACCGCTCTCTCTCACACACTCAGTACCTGCAGTCCTAGCTCCAGTGCCACGTTGAGCAGGGTTATATCAGGCGGGTTGTCCGCGGGTGTGGCTATCTTAAAGGCGTCCTGGGCCAGTTTAAAGATTAAGGAAGAGGAGTGGATGTTTTTCTGGATTGCCTCCAGCACCGTCCGCAACCTCAACATGTCACCTGCAGGCAAAAAAAAAAGAAGCATTATCAAGCATGAACTGTGAAGAGAACCATCTGAAGGCACACTGTGAATGCAGCTGTCGGTATGCAGATGTTGTTAACAGTACCTTTAGCAGCAGTGAGCATGGTGGAGGCCAGCTCACACTGCTGGGACTCCAGGTGTCCCAGTGTGAACCAGCGCGGGTATCTACTTGGAACTATGGAGATGCCGTGATGAGGGTGGCCCACGTCCCCGGAGCCTGCTGAGGACTCCAGCACCGGCAGCCTGACAGAAACAATTGGCTCAACATTAGTTGTACAACACATGGTTTTCATCAAAGGTCAAAGGTCAGTTCGAATTCAATCTAGAATGAAGTTCATCATTGAAACATATACTCTAAAAGTCAGCTGGTTTATAGATAATACAGCGAATTCAGTCTCACTTACAGGTAGTGTGTGGGGCATTAGATCACATTACTTTTACTACAACTTTAGACACATTAGTGTAAATACCTGAAACAAATGAGACCATCAGCATAGATGATTGGCAGCTTCCACTACCACTGCACACCCAGTTTAACAGTTTATTAAAGCTTTTGTGTTCATTTTAGCGGCCCTTTAGACAAAGGCAGTAGTATTTCAACCATCTTGTTTAATTGATTTTCAATTGATTTCAAGGGGGATTTCAGTCAAAAAGAATAACCATATAGAAATAGCCAGTCATGTCACTGATGGTTTTGTTTGTTCATGTAGGTCATAAAGAGGCATCAGTATTAAATTGAGACTGTTTCAATAGATCCAACATTCATGAAGGTTATTATGTTAAGTTTTTGCTGAAACTGTTTTATGATGAATCAACAGTAACTAACCATGTCTTCAAACAGAGGCTGCCAGTCATTTAGACCATGGTCTCATATATTTCCACTTTACAGTGAGGCTATGACACAGTGTGCATTCATGTTTAAATATGCAGCTCTTTTAATCTCTAGCTGATAAATACTGACTGAATTGGGGAACTGACCTCATGGCGCGGAGAGCCAACTTATACGCCAGGTCTGCGTCATGTGGCAGCAAGGCAGAGAAGAGGTACTTGGCGAAGGTGTGCATGGGAACACTCTCCCTGTGGATGACCTCACCTAGACCACTGAACGGACCAGCTGGACCAAAAGGGAGACAAAATACGTTTATACACAATGTGAAGGCCAAAACACCATCATATACCAGGTTGTGGTCTTGTCTACACAGCCTGGATGTAACACTACAGGTCAAACTAGGATTTTATGATCAGTACTAAAAAAAGTGTGATTAAAAATATCTGGCTCATGAAACTCAAACTGAGAACTTGAAGAAAAATGAGAGAGTATCCTGAGAAGATGCCGTTGTTGTACCTTCTAGTAGCTGTATGGCCTGTTTCCGAAGAGTCTGAACCAGGAGATCATCCAGCTCCAGTTCTTGAAGTTTTACAACTATCTGCTCCTCATTACGACACACCTAGAACATATTCAGAATGCACATCTTATTCACTGTGATTGTACAGTAAATGTTCTGTTGAGTATCAATGAAGATGAGAAGAAAATGTGCCAAAATGAGAGTTCCAATGCAATTAGACTATGTTCATATCACTACTGTCAATGAGATCATGTTACAATTCAAGAATATACATGCACTAGGTTGAGAAGTTTAACAAGAAAAAATAACTGAGCACTTTGAAGTTTAAATACCCTTTTAAAGAGGGATTTTGAGCTTGAGGTATTAAAGGACCAGCAGGGTGCTTTAATACCTCACACCCTTGCATTGGTGTTTATCTACCATTACAGTACACAGGACAGTGACCGATTCTTCATGATTGAGAGGTCCCTTTAGGAAATTTGATTTTCTTTGGTTTTAAATACAATTCTGACTTAAAACATTAAATTATTTTCAAATCCTAGACATGTGTGTCTTTTTACATCGCTCTGTGTTCCTGTCATATCTTTTCTTGATGCCTTTATGTCTTATTTAAAGCACGCTCAATTGCCTTTTTGTTAAAAGGTGCTACACAAATAAACTTGCCTTGCATGAAACATTAATATTTTGCTTATTCCCATGATATTAAGAGAGCTCTGTGGCAGCCATGTTAAGCACTAAAGCAGATTACCATTCAGACAAAGAAATGTTCCTTGGATTTATTCTACTTCAAAGTGAACCTAAGTACGGCGACTTTCTGCTTGTTTTTCAGGAAACAAAATGCTGTGACCTTTTCTCTCTTTTTGCATGGCAATTACTTCACACAGACGTTTAATTATAGTGATTTTCTATCATGGCGACATTGTCTACACTAGACAAATTCACACCGCCTGTTTTAATATGCAACCAACCATAAATGCAGTCTACTTACCCACTGCAAGCAGGCTAGCATTACTGTATTCTCTTAAATCAGTTTATCATCTGAGAATTTATGAGATTATGTTGTAACGTGACAGTGTGTATTTCATGACTACCGTACCTTATCCTGAGCATATAGGCCCTCTGGCATTATCCTCTGCTGGCCCATACCCATCAGAGCCACCTCTAAGGCCAAAGTCAGGTAGGACTCCCCTCCATCAGGACTGCCCCATACTGGTACATGGTGGTAGACCGGAGGCCTGGGGTCACCTTCTGAAGAGAAAGAAAGAAAGCCATTTAGTGTTTTGTGCTCTGTGTGGCGGGTTAATCGGCTTCAATCACTTAATTCATTAATGTCACCTCAACTGGTTGTATAGGAAGAGAGCAAACACAGCAGAGACAAAGAGACTGCAAAACAAAGAGTCAAGTTACGATGTGTTCAAGGCTGTAAAGTGGCAGGGGATTTACCAACCACATTCATACAAAAGAGGTTCGGTTTTTTGCAAGTCTATCTTAACGCAACACCCACATGCCCATATGTGCATTGAGATCACTGGGCCTAACGCTTTGTTGCAGGAAACCACGACAAAAAGAGAGGCAAAATGGCACAACTTGAAGCCAATATGAGGCTTATGTTCAAGTCAAATCGGGAGTCAAAGTACATGCACCAGGATGTACTCCTGCCATCACAGCTACGCAAGATAACAGTCCGTAGTAAAAAGACCATTTGATTCGGCTGAAGCCTCATATTACCTTCTTTGCATTTTGCCAATAAGGGATGTGTTTTTCCCTTCTCTTAGTCTCTGTAGTTGAGTTAGGGAGGGATGGATTCAGGGCCAGACATGGTTACATTGAATATTAGCATGTGTGTATTGTATTAAGACAGACTTGAAAAAAAAAAGTTAAAACTGTGTGTAACATTTTATAAAGATGGCATTCCTACTAGACTGTGCTCACTAATCTAAGATGGCCGCTAACCCTACACCAAATGCTCGGCAGCTATAATTGAGAACAGATGCCGTGAGAGTCTCAGCTGTTGATTGGTGCCCATTTGTTCTCTCTTGCTCCCCCACCCCATCATTCTACTTAAATCCCCTCTGAGCAATAGATCCCCTCAATCCTGTTTATTCCACGGATGTGTGTGTGTGTGTGTGTTTGTGTGTGTGTGTGTGTGTGTGTGTGTGTGTGTGTGGAAATCTAGGGAAAAGTGGAAACTGATTTTACAGACTTAACCCCAGTGCTAATTTTTTTTTTTTTTTTTTATCCATGGGCTGTTGACTGATTGGTTGATTTGAAAAGGCCAGAGAGAAAACTGCATTTTGTTTGGTTGACACATAGTCTGGGTCCGCCCCTCTTCTAACAGATGTTCCCAGCTGTCTTCCAGAGGAAAATAAAGCATGGTGACCAGGCCATAGACACACATGCAAAACAGTCATACCACTCTCCTCAAATTCCCAAAACAACATAAGACGATCATTCACTCCATTGCCAATACACACAGACACAGGCGCACACAGACACAGGCGCACACAGACACAGGCGCACACAGACACAGGCACACACACACACACACACACACACACACAACATACACCAATGAGTGTGCCAGTGGTCAGCATTGTTTGAACGGACAATAGTTCCCTGTAGCCTGGTGACAATAGGAAAACCCAACCCCTATTCTGCTCTGTTGCAATGACCACAAGAGGAAAAAAGGCCCTGGGCAGGCCGAGAAATGCAAATGGTGATGGATTCTATACATACCACACACACGCACACACGCACGCGCACACACAGGCGCACACACACACACACACACACACACACGCACACACACACACACACAAAAGGAGTGTGGTCTAAATGAGCAGGGTGTTCCAGCCCGATCCGTTCATGCACTGCTAGTTTATGGCTCTGTCTGCAGCACAATCGTGCCCGGTCCTGATATAAGAACATAAAGTCTGTTGTCTGATGAGTCACTGCTGGTGTGTGCGATCACCTCTGCTCAGGATTACACTGCATCAGCTGGTCAAGTGTGCCAGGAATTATATCCTCTTTGGCAAGTGTGAAAAGACAGGGAGGAGGTTCATGGATGAGGATCTATTTTGATGAAGTACATGCTTTAGCTTACTTTGTAGGTTTAGGGGACAGTAGGTTAGCTAGAACATCAATGGCAGTGCAGATGGAGAATGATTTGGATGTTAATATATGCATTATTGTGGCCGCGACCAACAATGTTTTCCATTACCACCTACTCATTTGATAAATCAATTAATCAGTTTGTATTTAATTGTCTGAAAATCTCTAAGGTGATTCAAATGGGTTGTTTTGACTGAGCAACAGTCCAAAACCCAAACTATATAAACAGGAGGAAAGGAGCAAATCCTCCTATCTCAGAAGCCAGAACCAGCAAATGGTTGGTAGTTTTGGTTTACGACCAAATACCTGCTAAACTAATGACATCCTCATCAGCCTCAGCTGTTCTTGGTATTTAGTGCTAATTTGCTAATGTTAGCATGTATACACGCTAGACTGAGATGGCAAACATTAAACTTGCTGAACATAAGCATGTTAGCATTGTCACTGTGAGCATGTTAGCATGCTGACATTAGCATTTATCTCAAAGCACTGCTGTGCCTAAAGACAGCCTCACAGAGCTGCGAGCATGACTAAGCGTTCTTAGTCTTGTTGACTGAAACATGACTTAAACAAATAATTGATTATCAGAATTGCATTTATTATATTACATGATTAATGGTTTCAACACTATGTATTACCAATAAAGTACATTTTATTATAATAAATAGTTTTGTGTCTTGCTACCTCTAATACGTCCTATTTCCTGTTTCTATAAGAGATGAATATTATTTGGTTGCTACCGCTCTGACCAGCACTCTTTGCTAGTGGCGGCTCATAATGAAGCTCTGAAGCTTATTCTCAGCTTCACTTATGATGTGACCATGGTAAAGAGCAGGGGTCAAAATGCCTACCATTTAAAAGTAAAAAAAAAAATACAAAAAATAAATGAAAGCTACCACTGTACATTTTTGTGTCCCAGTCCTTGTACAGAACAAAGGTGACCAATGGGAGACTCCAGACACTGAGTCCTTTCTATGCCCAAGCTTCAACTCATGACAAGCCATCTCATAATCTTCTATTAAGACCAGAAGCACATTATAAAACTAGACAGTTTGTTGGTGCACTAGAAATGATTTCACACCATTCACTCTGCAGAAAGTCTGCAAGCAAAAGACACTTAACTGCTAAATGATGGATCAAAATAAAAGTAGTCATGGGAACTGTATTTAAATTCATGAGGGGAAATAATCAAGCATGTCTGCCTTTTGGCCTGTTAATAAAGTGATTCCTTAAAGCATTAAAGCAAGACTTACTGTTCTTGTTTTTGGCACAGAGTTATGATTTCTTATTACAATTTCCATAGAGAAAAAGGAGAAACAGAGCAATATCTTTGTTTCCATACCTCCGGTGTCCATGGTGTTGTCGTCGTCCACACGGCAGGTTTCAGTGAGTGTGGTGAACAGACAGCCAATCGGGTCTAAGGGATGACCCACCCAGCCTTCCAGGTTGGTGGTGGAAGTCACACCCCTCTGGAGAAGCTCTGAGAGAGGAAGACAGTGGGAAAGAAAGACAACCATTAAAATGATTGGTTCAGAACACTTAACAGCACACTCTCTATATATACATATATTTATGTGTGTGTGTGTGTGTGTGTGTGTGTGTGTGTGTGTGTGTGTGTGTGGGTGGTGTGTTTTACCTTTCTTTTGGTGTTTGTAGATGTCCATTTGTCTCTGCTGTTGGAGGCGGAGCGTGTTGATGATGGCGACGGCCAATCGCAGGGCTTCCCTGGAGTAACCGTGGGAACGCAGGGCGTCGACGCGAGCGCATGCTGTCGGGACGTGGTCTGTGTGGTCGACAGTGAGAGAAGGTGGAGTCAGGACAGCTTCACACACACAAAAACATTTTACACAATCACAGATCTCTCTCTCACACACACACACACACACACACACACACACACACACACACACACACACACACACACACACACACACACACACACACACACACACACACACACACACACACACACACACACACACACACACACACACACACACACACACACACACACACTGTGCAGTCTCAGCAGAACGCCAGTGTGTGTCTGATAGCTGGCTTAAGTTGCAGAATCTGACAGATCTTAGCTGGAAGCTGCTTACTGCAGATACTGGCCTCAATATCAGCAGAATTACTCTTGTGTGTGTGTGTGTGTGTGTGTGTGTGTGTGGGCTTGGCTTTCAGTGGAATTAGAGATTGTGTGTATATAGAAGTGCCACAGTAACACTGTCATTCCTCCCGAAAATGAAGTTTTTCTATACTGTTGTAATACAGAAATTGTGTGTGTGTGTGTGTGTGTGTGTGTGTGTGTGTGTGTGTGTGTTTTGTTCCATACATGTTTGTAGCTTTATGAAAGTTTTATTTGACAAAATAAAAAAAAGTATGCCCTTTTCTGGATTTGAGTAATGAATTACTGTTTCAGTTTCAGTGAGGTGTAACTAGCAGTTAACTAGTTGACTTTCTGGGGAGTACAATAATCCCACTGTGACTGTGCGTATCTGCGTGTGTACCTAGCCAAAGCGGTAGGCCCTGTGGGTTGAACAGCAGGCTCTCCCCCTCTCTCTGGTAGGATGGGGACATGTAGTGGTCGCTGCTGATGATCCTCTGGAGGTGGCTGTCCTGCCAGTGGAGGTCACAGGCCTCAACTGCCCGACTGAACACCGTCCTCCTCGGCCTGGACAGAGAGTCTGAGAAAAACAACACTCACACGGTCAGTGATATCCACAATTATCAAGTTCAGATTAAATCCGGTGTGTGTTCCAGTTTTGATTACACAGTATTGGTGTGTGCGCGCGCCGGTGCTGACCCTGTGCCAGGTTGCTCTGCGGCAGAGCGTTGGTGATGTTTGGAAGCTCACTGCCGTAGTTGCCGTCCTCCAGCGGGCAGACATCCATGTCGCCCCATTTCTTCAGCTGCCTCAGCCAGCTGCTCTTCTCCTCGCTTTTACAGTGGGGGTTTAGCACCACGCACACCCACAATGCACCTGGGGAAAAAAGATTGGTGGTTAGAGGTCAGGATGCAAAGGAAGCAGAGGTTGTGGAATGCTGTTTAAGACCATTTGACCTGTACTGTGTCAGCTATGATGAGAGGTGGTTGAATTCTCTAATGCTATAAAAGACTATTCTTTTCTTATCTACTATCTACTATAACTATTGCCAATCCCAACGAGGGAAAACTCAATGCTTAAAACTTAGGGAATAAAAGTTTATTCTTGGGAACATCTCTTACATGCTTTGAAAACATTCTTGCAGGGACTAACAGTTTAAGACTGAATCCCGACATGTAGAATTAATAAAAAAAACATGAATTCATACATATACAGATTGGTATAATAGTAAATTAAATACATTTGGGTTTGGTATTGTTGATTGAACAAAACAAGCTAATCCAAGATGCGCCTTGGGCTCTGGGAACTTTCAATAGGCATTTACACTATTTTCTGATATTTCATAGCCTGAAAAATGTATCTATTACTCAAGAAAGCACACCAAGGCTGAATCTGAAACACTAGCTACAAACAATAGAGCAGAAAAACAAGACAAATCCTGTTAAAGATATGCATTTAGTCATGTTTTTATGCCTGAAAATATGAAGAATATGCTGCTTTTTGTTTCTAAAACTGCACTGGTAACTACCACAACCATGCCATAATGTCGAGGGAATACCTCTGAATGTTTCACAAAATCATGCTTCTGTAGTCCTGACTCCTGAACTCCATAAATGAAATATTGTGCATGAGCTTTCACAAAGTCCCAAAAGCCTTTTTAAAAGCCAGAGTTGTTATATTGTATGAATCAAAATTATTTTAGTAATACCTACAGGCAGCTTCTCACCTGTTCTACATGCACAGACCTCGAGCTGGGTCACCTGTCAGGTGTCTGCATCTCTGAGAAAAATGATCAGGCAGCAAACCCCGACTGTCTGGCTGTTATTTCTGTCAATGTCTGTGTCATGATCTCCCTCGCTCACCCAGGAAGTGTTCTCATTGACCTCCTAAATGCAGAGATTGATTGCAGAGAAGCTGAGCAGCCGTATTGATCGGCAGCCTTTATCATTCACTCTGTGTAAGGAGCGAGAGGGGGGCAGAAAAGAGAGGCCTGGGCAGGAGGAGAAGCTACCGAGTGGATGACCTAATAGCTTACTGACTGGATGAACATTTACTCGACAAGATGACTGCTGATTTGTCAGAGTTACTGACAGACTGGACGCTTCTGTTTTCCCTACAGTGACTGATGGACCAACTAGCTGACCTGTCAGCTTAAAAACAATCCTAAACAAAGTCATTTTGATAACATGTTTTTGTTTTTGTCTGATTGGTCTTACCTAGCTCATCCCAGAGCTGCCGACACTTGTCCGTCATCCCCGTGCCCTGCTGTCTCCATAGCGACAGCCGGGGGTCTGCCATAAACTGTTCCGTTATGAGCGTCAGCATTCGGGCGCCGTTGGAGTCTCGCATTCGTAGCATCTCCCTCACCTGGAAAGACCCAGCGTGCACAGGCTTAGTCACTGTATGTAATCCATAACACTTTGACTTTCTTCCATCTGGTATTGATGTGTGTCCTTGCTCATCAGAATGTATTTCAGGAGAGGAAAAAACACTTTACAAATACATAAACACACTGCTGTTTCCACTGGTTTCCAGTCTTGTTAAACTAAGCTAACCGGCTCCTGGCTCCAGCTTCATACTGAACAAACAGATATAAGAGGCATATTGATCTTCTCAGCTGTCAGCAAGAAAGCCAAAGAGTTAAGTTACACTTAAGAGGTTATAAAATCTTCTGAGTGCCATTTAAAACAAAATAAAAGAAACCGTTTGGTACTGAAATCGAGAGCTAAGACATATCAGAATAAAGGTCTGTTTTAAGTGTGCTTGTTTCTCTCAGATAAAGAGCACATGGAAAAGTGCCTCCATCTTGGATTGGACTATTGACTTTTTTTTTTTACCCTTTTTTAAATGTACTTAATTTACAGCGTTTTTTTGTTTAATCTATCAGGCTTATAAAAGTCTGATGTAATACACAACTGAGTTGCATTATGGGAAAGATAGGATTTTTTTGGCGCTAGACCCGTACCGGAGACGAAAAGTCAGGAGCATCGACTTTGCACTGGAGTGCCCCTTTAAAATATGTCTATGTCCAAATCTGATAGCATTCATTTGCTTTAGAGTGGAGCACCAGAAATTTCTCACTAAGTCTGTCTAACAATCTCCTCAAACCAATGTTCCTACTGAATTAAAAATTGTCTTTATTTAGTGGAGTGCTAGGCTCATCATAGCGACAACGTAACATATTTTAGTGTAGTTTCTAATTGCTTAGCGGCCTTGTTCAGAAAGGCCGCTGCTGAGGGACGACAAATAAACCATTATCTTACTTATCGGTGTCTTGGTGTTGATAATGATAATAAAAATTGATAGATAAATCCCAGCCATATAATGGAGCAGAAACAGGAAGTAGAGATGGATACCTTAGCGAACATGGAGTTGAGTTGCTTCCCAGAGCCGTAGTATCCTCCCTGTGACAGAAACTGTTTGACCTGCTCCCTGACTTGATCCTCGTCCAGATGCCAGCAGTTGTCATCGTCAATGCTGGCGCCTGCAGTCGGGTCCGGAGCACCTGGGAGTACACACACACACACACACACACATTAAATGACAAGCACACACAAAGCTACAGTGATAGAAACATATGCAGGCAAAAAAAAAAAAAACACATGAAAAACTGACCAAAATGGAACCTGGAGGCACAATTTCAATCTAACATTAACATCCCTCTCTCCACATCAAAGCTGCTGTAAACAGAGTACAGTCTGTATATTCACTCAGTCACTCCGTTCCTTCCTGTTCCCAATTCGCACTCCAACAAAAAAAATAAACAGATGGTGACCATGGGAAATGGAGTTTACTTTTAGACAGCCTCACTTGCAAAAACACAGTTTCCTTAGCTCGATCCAAACATGTCACTCCAGATATCCTCAGAGCTCATGGAGATAAAAAATTCTAACCTAAATTAAACAGTAACTCTGAATGAATCTAAATCTCTGCTGACTTGTTTCACTGATACTCACTGCTCTCATACCTATTTGTTTTACATTTAACTTATAGTACACCTATATGACACTTAAGAAAAGCTTCACGATTTAGGCTAATCATGCACTAAGGGAATATGAGGCCAACTTTATTTTTCTTCTGTTCAGCGCTGGGTGTGTGTGTCTGAGTAATACTACGGGGAAATGTAGATATGCTCAGAAGGGGGGAAGCTGCTTTGATCTAGCAGGAAGCAAGCTGAGGAAAGCCCAGAGATGTGTTTCCAACTGGCTGGGAGTACGCAACAGCAAACAGCAACATTCCTCCATCAAAGAAAGCCTCGCTCCTGGATCGACTGAACTTCAACCCCCATGATCCCCCTTGTCAAACACAGACAGGAAACACGGCGCGGGGCTTCCTGGACAGGGGAGCTGGAGAATGTCAACATTTAGCGAGGAGGATGAAATAGAGAAACGGATAAAGAGTTTTGTTTGGTGAAAGGATGTGTCTAGTTTGTCGTTCCTCCGATGCAGGTCTGTTGTGGTTCTCCCCTTCTTTTTCATCTCATACTTTCTCAGGTGCTTTCATCTTTCTTCTCCTTCCTGTCTCCTCTCTCTCCCCCGTTTCCCCAAGTGCTATTTCTCCTGTCTGTTCCTCTCAGTGTCCCTTTCCTTCTTCCTTTCCACACATCTCTCTGTCTACCTTCTCCTGCGGTCCATTTCACCATTCAACTCTCACTTTTTTCTGCTTTCTCAAACAAACTCCTGCCACTGGAAAGAGGTAGTCGCTGGAGAGTGGGAGCTAAAAAAATCAAACGAGCCATTTGAAGTCTGTCTTGCTGCTTCGCTGGAGTAATCAGGGCTCTGACGTATGACAGCCTGTAGGCTAGCATGCAGCATGTTTTAAGTCTGGAAGCTTTTAAGTCTGGCCTGTTGCTGTGAAGATATCACTGCAGAGGGATGGACAGCACCTCAACAGAGCCGACTCTTCAACAACAGCTTTTCTGTTGCCATGCATGTATGACATTAAAAAGACGAAATGGGTTCTAGACTGATTTGGTGGATGAAAGTTGCCCTGAAAAATCACACAATCACTTGCATTTCTACTTGAAATCAATCTAACATGAACATAAAAGTTTGCCACAAAGGCTGTCCTCTCACCATGGACCTGGTTGATCTCAGAGTTGGAGGAGAGGATCTCATCGGCCAGTTTCTGAGCGGTGGGCAGCACCTCAGTGTGGTGGGCTGTGATCAGATACTGGACCAGCTTCTGCAGCTGATCTCTGTTCATCTGGAACAACGTCTCTGAGATGGGCAACCGCAACTTTACCTGTATAACACACACAAAAACACACAGAGATGTTGGTGTTTTGCGTATTAACTTAATCCTTTCATTGTCATAAGTTAGTAAGAATTCTATAATGGACTTCCTGCTTTAGAAACCTTTATCTTTATCAAATGTAGGCTGTTGTAGGCTGTTTACGCTGGGTTTTCATTCCCTTCATTCCCAGGCTTATGGCAGTCACTACTACTACTACTACTACTACTAATTATTATTTGTCACTTGAGCGATTAGTGCAAGTAAACACATTCTACCTCACATTTTATGAAGGAAAAAAAGAAAAATAAGGTATACACAGTTTAAAAATTATTACGATTTTTTGCCTGCATGTCCAAATGTTTTCAATGAACCAGAAATATCTGCACACAAATCAATACAGGAGAATGTGGGGGTTCCAGAGATAAAAACCATGCTGAAGGACCTTCTGAGTCTTAGTAATGTCAAAAAATGTACTGGTAGTATATCTACAGCTCCCATTATTTGGGGATATAAAAGGAAATGTAATGTTGCCATGGCGTTATCTGTGGGTTAATATTGTATATAATATAACATAGTATATAATATTTAATCTGAACACTACTAGCCAACTCTGTAGCGACTTTTAAATCACTTCTATTAGAAAGCTTTTTTAGTTTTTATCCAGTTTTGATTTTATTCTTGTATGCTCCACATTGTTTTATTATTTTATTCTGTGTTATACTTTAAATTTCTTATTTTTATTGTTTATTATTTAGGTGACTATCCACCTGCTCTATAATCATGGATGTACAGCCAATAATAAACTGAGTTACTTTGTTTACTTAAGAGAAAATCTACATGTGATTATTAAATGGCAAGACCTGAAGTACTAAAGGGTTGCCTTTTTTATATGACTTCAAAGATTTATGGATGTTTATCCTCAACACACATTAGCAACACGATATTACTGGAAAGATTAAGGTGCTGATTCTAGCAGTATGTGTAAGACATCATACACAGATATTTGTATGTTGTGGTTTTACCTGTTCAGGCTTGCGAATCCGGTAAAGAGAGAGCGCCACCACGTGGGCGCAATAGAAAATGTCTCTGTTCCCACAGCCACAGGTGACGGAGGTGATCTTACATCGGTCGAAGCTGATGGCCACCTTGTGGGTGACCTCTGGCTCTGATGATGTGGCAGGTTCAGTTACTGTGCCACTGAGGTGAAACCCTGAAAAGACACAAGGAAGAAAAGAGAAGGAGTGAGCTTCATCATTCACTCATGGAAAAAAAGAAACATATAAAAACCCACAAAATGTTAATGGAAACATCAGTGGTTTCCATTGTTTTTCAAACTACATTAGCAAAAGCTAAAATAGAGATTCAGCTAGCATGATTCACACATGTATTGTATATCATTTTCCTGGTTTAAGACTTTTCATGGGCAATAATGGTGACAATGTGGATCTTGTGTGGGAACTGCCAAGGAGAAGAGATGCATAAGAGGAGAAAAGGAGCATCTGTGGTAATCTGAGCCTCTACAAACCTACAGAGTGAACCTTCAGTACAAAACACACACGTCTTAATGAGATGTCTCCAACAGGGCACAATGCCATCTGATACTCTCTCTACCTCTCTCTCCTTATGTCTCTATGCATTTGTGCATGTGCAGTGAAAAGGGGGTTGCTAAGGTGTGATCCGTTTCCTGCCCACACACATTCAGCCTGAAGGATAGTAAGATAGTAAGCTGAACCAACAATTGTCCTCACTTTTATGGCACTTACATTTGAGAATTCAACTGATAAAGAAAGAAAACATGCTGTTCAAATATATATATCCCCAGAAAAGCTAGAACTACTTTAAAAGGCAGTATATCTAACACCAGGCGTCATCAAGCTTTGGCTCTAGATACAAGTTTGATGAATAGGAGAAACATTTTTAAAAATTACTCAACTGTGGAGTGCCTCATGGTTCTATCCTAGGGCCGCACATTGCTATACTGATGATGATGATAACTTTGTCTCTAAAGTCAGGAAACCAGCGGCAGTCTGGTGTCCTTAAAGAACTGTGTGGTGGACATCAAATATTGGATGTCTAATAACTTCCTCAAGGTCAATGAAAACAATTTTAGCAATAATCATATTAGTGTTAAACTCAACAGAATTTGGCAAATTTGATAACCTGGCCCTTTCCTTTTAGCCTAGTGCCAGTAGTGTGTTTCATGCTATTATTTACGCTCTGGTCTTTTCCAGAATTGATTATGATCAACATTTACCGACCTTTACTTTAAAAAAGTAAATGAGTATACAAAGAAATTAAAATTAAAACACTAAGAACGAATAAAGCTGTTTTATTCAATGCAATCTACTGCCGGGATCCTGTATAGCTCAGGTACTAAAAGGAATAATGTGATGAGAAAAGAACTGGAAAGAAGGAAAGGTAAAAGTGGAACAAAAAGCTGAGTAAAAGAATGGCAAGTTAGGAAACGGAGGATAAAGGGGACGAGATAGGAGGGGAAATGTGAGAGGAGAACAGAGAATAGGGGAGGGGAGAGTGTATCTGGTCTGTCCTGTCGTCTCACTGTGACAGGTCAATTATTTATGAGGTGAGGTGTGTGTGTGTGTGTGTGTGTGTGTGTGTGTGTGTGTGTCTGTACACATTGGATTACTGTATCTCACCAAACCATAGCAACCCCACTGCTGCTTTCACAGCTAGAAAGACAGGAGAGAGAGAAACATAAAGGGAGGGCGAGCAAGCTAACTGGAAAGCAATGATATGGCTATTTTGGGCATGGGCTCTAAAGCTCTGACAAACTAACACACACACACACACACACACACACACACACACACACACACACACACACACACACACACACACACACACACACACACACACACACACACACACACACACACACACACACACACACACACACACACACACACACACACACACACTTAAATTCTGGGGTATGGGCCAGCATGGTAGAGCTGCCTAATAAGCGCGTGTTAAGCCATCTCCCTGGCAAAATCCCACATAAGGCTTTTCCAAACCAAATGTTGTGAGCGCACACACACACACGCTGAGACCCAATCAACTGCAAACTGCTTTCACTATGACAAAGAAAGATTAAGAGCTACAGGAGAGTAGAGGCCTACACGGAGTGTTAAAAATGACTGATGCACGGCGTTGCTGCACCACAACATAGGGTCTTAGGGTAAAAGTTGAAGTCGAACTTGGCTCAACTTTTGCCACAAAACAATGTAATGTCAACGATACGCCGAACGCACATTCCAGGTAGAACACATTGTAGTATGAACGGTGTACCATTGTGCCAATTCTACGGTGTACCCAAAATGATCAAGAGCTCTGTAATAACATTTCACTACTGTTCCAGCAGATGCTTTTGTCCAAACAGACTTGTGTTTAGCGCATTAAGCCTCTGGTAACTCTCTAGGGATGTACAATCTTGCCAGTACAAACTGTCAACAATGTCTAGGTGTCATGGACTTACTGGATCGTATTTAATTTTTTTCACTGGTACCTGTAGTAACATCTGTGCCAAAGCAGCCTCCCCCTCCAGTTTTTTAAATAGACTGATATTTTCAGTCTACACGTGGCCAAACCATCTGAATAACCCACCAGCAGACTAACACACCAATGTACCAACTGAACGAACCATCAATGCCACATGTGTAAACCAAATGATATGCTGATTGACATACTCACCTAGATGGCGTCATGCCAAAAAACACACCAACCTGCTGGCATACCTACACATCATCATGCCGAGCAACCACCTCACAGACACTACTGGCAACTAACAGACCAATCGTCTTCCAAAAGGGGTTGACTGACCAACACAAACTGTCCACTGAGCCAAACAGGCCATCTGACTATGACAGGACAGATGAGAGACACTGAGAGAACAGACTGCAGAGGGAGAGAGAGAGAGAGGCTGATGCGTCTGCCAAAGATAGACATAAAGAGTCCACCGAATTGTTGAAATCTCTCCCTCCCACTGAGTCCGCCTGTCAAACCAATCTTTGTATCTCGCAGCTCATGGTAATATCATAAATGTCAGAAAAAAGGCTTTCTATTCCTTCCCTCTGTCTCTATAATGGATATACCTGTAGAGCCAATTTGCACTAACCGCAGCTTAGTGCAAGAGAGTCCAAATTTGATCTTCCGGTGCTGAAATCATCACAGCGGTGAGCAAAAGATCAGGCAAAAATCGAGGGAGTGCATTTCTTAAAAGCATCGGGGGAACATTTTAGAGCTATCTTTCCTCCAAGCTGTCTAAATAATGTCTACTCAGTCATCAGTCATCTCTACACTTGGCTCCAGAAATCCATTTTAGCATTTCAGATGAGCGTAGAAGTTTTGATGGCAGAAAATATTAGGTATTAAGACTTTCCCACAGCTGGGAGTGTTGTTCTCTCTTTCTATCTTGGCCTAGCCCCCCTTCTCTCTCAGTCTGTGTCTGTTAGGCTAAAGCCTATTGTTGCACAGGCCACAGGGATGAATGTGATGGTGACACCGCTGCTCTTTTCACTTTCAATCAAGTCTAAAAATGGCCTAGAAGCAGTTCACAGTCCGTCTGTCTCTTACCCCTCCCCTCTATCTTTTCCAGTTTCACACATTAAAACCACAAAGTAGGTGGGTTTAATTATAGGCAAGTTAGCAGTTCTTGGCATTCCTACCTCAGTCAAGTCTTTTCTCACACAATATGGCCATTTCTAACGGACAGATCAATACTTATTTGGTTTTTGTACAGATTAAATAAACAAGAACAAATGTTTGTGATTAAAGCTGCTGATGTATAGGTAAACAGTTTTGTTACCTTTGGACAGTTAACTGTTTCCCCTGTAGGCAAGTAAGCAAATATGTGCATTTTCCTAAAATGAAAAACTAACCCTTTGAATAAATATCAGAATGTATTAACTATTTTGCAACCTTCACCTATGAATGATGCTGCTTTTGATTTTACATAGACTGCCAGAGAGTGTTACACAACAATAGACATAACAACATTCAGTACCAATAGAAGGGGACCCATGACAAAACCTTGGGGTACTCCATGGTTGAGGATATTCTTTCTCCCTTTCATCAAACTGTATATAGGTGGTGTAAGTGTGGTGATTCAATACTCAAGGTTTGGTGTTAAACTGTACCCCTTCTTTCTGCCGCTATCACATACAGAGTGCTCGTGTGTGTGTGTGTGTGTGTGTGTGTGTGTGTGTGTGTGTGTGTGTGTGTGTGTGTGTGTGTGTGTGTGAGGCTGAGAGAGACAGTGTGTCTTCAGCAGATGGGGATGCGACACTTGATAAAAAGACGCTGCATCAGACAGTCTGCAAGCGTGCGCGCGCACACGCACACACACGTAAACACAGTGAACAAAAAGACCTTTTCAGAGCTTTTCTGCTTTTGTTCTTAATGCCACAGCGACAAAACAACACAAACTAGTCTGTGATATTCACAGTAGATATCACTAATCTCTCTTTTTGTCACACACTCATACACAAACATGCACAGACATACATACTCTTCATTCTGTTCTATACCAGGCTATTGGACTGGTTCGGCAAAACCGATGAATTTCTAACAAAGGTGAATTAGGAGGGCGATGTGTGTAAACTGGGAGTGCTGCCAAGTACAATGATCTGGCCTAATCCTTGGGGAAAATCACATGGCCCTGTGTGTGTATCATGTCTTTTTTGTCTGTTCTGATGCAGGTATGCATGCTTGCCCTGAACCCCCCCCTCCGCCACACACACACACACCTTCTGCCACTGACATCTTTTATGCGGAATAGAGTGTGCGTGTGTGTCATTTGTGGTTATTAACAACACTTTCATTGTATGTGCGGCACATCATTTAGAGCCACACATAGAGCTGGGTGCATTCAAACCACAGCTATAATCCTCGTTCTGTTTGGTGAAAGAGGCAAAAACATGAACCATAGTGGATTCCCCACCTCGTTTGTCGGAGAATTCATTTCATTATACGTATGGATTATTTTTTTATCTGGATTATTTTTATTTAATAATGCATGTGGGTAGGACTTGACAATGTATGTCTATTTATGGATGTGTAAGCAGGTGAAGTCCTTCTACCCAGTGGTAACTGTGTGTGAGAAAAAAACTAAAAGTGAGAAGAAGAATAAAAAGAGGAGAAAATAGGACTGGAGAGACCACTATTGTACATCTTTCTATTGTAATTAGAGCC